TTCCTCGATGAGGTGAAGCTCATCGATGACACCATCACAGATCTATGCCCGATATTTCAGTCGAGTAAGGTACTCAAGCAGTATGAAAAACGTTTTGGTGAAGCTTAGGCCCAGGCCTGGGATAACCAACTTCCGAAGCTTTGCTTCGGTGCTTTCCTTTTTTTGAAACGAAAAAGGAAAAAAGAAGGCTTGCGTTCTTTTTTTTACGTTCTTACAAGACTTACAACAAGCCTTGCAAGTCTTGTAAGTCTTGTTCTAAGTTTTGTAAGGGTAGTGCCCTACCTTCTACGGCATAGAACGGCACCGAACTACTGATACAAACGAGAAGTCTGATGAAAAAACGATTTGATTGTTGTCTCTTAGTTGGCCTTATTTTCAAATCACTACCAGATTCAAGCGCGGTAAAGAGGTCTTTCTCTTGAAGCTCTGTCAGAAGATTCTTATGAGCTACGAGCAGTTCAATTTTTTTGTTTGGCACGTCAAACCTGTTATATTCCCATTCATCTTTTTTTTCATCTTTTTCTTCTTCTTTCTCTTCTTCCTCATCTTCTCTTTCTTCTTCTTTTTTTTCTTCTTTCTTGCTGCGTACTTTATCGATGTATTTCATCGTGTGTTCACATCGAGCTATTGCATCGAGAAATTCTGTTGAAGAATTGTATGCACCTTGTCGCGTGCAAAAGCATCCTCCTTCATACTCATTCTCATCTTCATCTTCATCAAAGGCTTTGCCTTCTTCTTCTTTGAACTCTTCAAGTTTTTCAACCTCTTTATCTTCTTCATGTGACCAATAAAATTCCTCGCCAAAGATCGGAGTGTCTCTGAAGGGTGAGTTTTTACCCAGAAGCAGACTCTCCCCCTTTTTGGGTGCTTTTTTATTACCTGTCATCATCCAGAGTGGTGGTGGTGGTAAATTGCGCCAGTAGTCCTCGGTTGCTTCAACGCCATATTCTTCTTCGTCTTCAGACAAGTAAGTCAACCGATTCGCCCGGACGAACGGTGGTTCTTCAACGTACACGTCATGTACCTTTAGCTGTACCGATGCAACATTATCTTCTTCATTATCTGCTTCATTGACAAGGATGCAATCGATGACTATTGCCATTTTGACACGACAGCGCTTTCCAAGGTAGAAGAGCGGATCTTCGTCTTTTTCTTTATCTTTACATGTAAAAGGGGTGCGTATCTCTTTGGTAACTTTGTTATACATAAGCTTTGGATATAGAAAGCAATCTTCACTCATGGGAAACTTCATCGTTTCTGCCATCTCTGTGCAAAATTCCTCTTCTATATGTTTATAAGCAAAGACTCTTCAACTCCTTCAAGGCGCTTAAAAAGTCAGACTCTTTTTGCGTCAAAAATTCACCCAATGAAGAACCATACAAAGGAAATCGGAAGTGATAACCAACATGTTCACCTTTCTTATTGTAGGTCTTTTGTAGACCATGACATGTTTCTCGAAAAGGGGTTGCTATAACTAGTGGCTGTGTCATCCATCCGTGTTTTGCTTTGATGTTTATACGAAAACGTTCATTATGGTCAGTGAACGGTTCGAATTCGAATATGACGTTGTCCTTGTTGATATCTTTGAGACTTGTGAGTTTCATATTTGTGAGTTTGTAATAACTTTGCTTTAGTTGCTTTGCAACTACCAAAGAGAAAAAAAATCAAAAAAAAGTGAAAACAAAAGGTAGCACTTAACTTTTGAGATAAGTGCAACACTTGCTTTTTACATCGTTGACACTTAACTTTTGAGATAAGTGTACCTTTCTTTTTTCGTTTCGAAAAAGGAAAAAAGACCTTTGGTCTTAGACATCATCTTCGAGCTCTTCATCTTCGAGTTCATCTTCTTCAAGGACGGCCAATGGCTGCACCTGTGTCTGCGGCAACCGATGTACATATACATCGTTTACTTTCAGCTGTACCGATGCGTAATCAAGACCCAGATAGATACTATCAACCACAATGCTCATTTTTACTTTACAGTAATCAAGACATTCTAACGGGTCCACTTTTGATTCTTCTTTTGAGTGAAAGAGGGTACGTATCCTACCAGACTTTTGACTGTACATAAGCTTTGGATATAGTACCGGCGCTTTCCCCTCTTTCTCCACCAGTGGGAACTTTATGCTCTCTGCTACGTCTGTGCCATAAACATCGTCTAGATATTGATAGCAAATATGCTTCAACTCTTTCAATGCTTCATAGAAGGCAAATTCTTTTTGCGTTGGCTCGCCAGAGCCGTCGGCTTTGTTGTTCCACAGAGGAGTAGGTAGTGTGTAGCCCACAACATC